GGGGGGGGGCGCGCGTTTATGCGTGCGCCTGGGCAGAGGCGCGCGCTGCGCGCAGGTGGGGAATGGGTGCGTGGGGGGGGGGGGGACTTTTATTCAAACGCTTGGGGGGGGAGCTGTGCGCGCGTGTGTTGGGCCGGGGTGCGTGCGTGCGTGCGTGCGTCGTCGGCCGCGCGCGCGTGCGTGCGTGGAGGGGGGGGGGGGCACTTTTATGCAAGCGATTGGCGCGCGCGTGCGCGCGCGTGCCGGTGGGGAGAGGGGGTGGGGGGGGACTTTTATGCAAACGCTTCGACACTACGCTACGACACTAGGCTAGGACACTACGCTACGACACTACGCTACGACACAACGCTACGACACTACGCCACGACACTACGCTACGACACTACGCTACGACACTACGCTACGACACTACTCTACGACGCTACAATTGCAGCGTAGTGTCATACACACGTGATGTCAACACTACGCTATGACACTACGTAAACTTCACAAATTCACGGTTAGGAGAATAAATTCACGGTTAGGAGTAACCCTTGTGTATGTATGTATGTATCCATATAAATACAGCAGTACCGCTGCTCCCCCGGGAAATCTCTCCCGGGGGGGCGCTCTGGCGAGGATGTCGAGGCGACTCCTGGCCCTGGCGCCGAGTGAACCGGTGCGGTATTGACACCGTTGGGTCGCCTGCGGGTCCTCGAGGGCCCGAAGGCCGCTGCAGAATCTCAATGCCCGTCGCTGTGAGGACCCTCTCCCAAAGAACCGACGTTTGGAGTTTTCCAGTGCAGTGGAGGCCCATGCCAAGAAACACCCTGCTTGCCTCCAGGGTGCCCTAGGTTTCTTGGGTTTTGATCGTTTTGCGATGGAAAGTGTGACGCTCCCACACCAACAATTGATGGACGTCCTGGAATCTCAGGGTCGGCTTTCTTGCGGAAGGTTTCTTGTGGACAGGCCCCCACTGTGCGGCGTCCCCAAAGTCTGGTCCCCTTCCCCGGGGCCGAATTTCGTCTGGAATTGTGTTTTGACAGCTCCGTGGCCTGGTGAGGGTCCCCAGATAGGCCGAAAACGGCGAAAAACCTCCGTTCCCTGAGATCCGACGTTGCGGAATAAGTGCAAGCTCGCGAAACATCCCGACCCGAGCCCTGGACTACAGTCCAGGGTTCGGTAGGGACTCTTTCCTGCCAAGACGACCGAAACCCTTCCGAGCCCCTCCGAAAGCCCTCCGGGCAAGGTTCCAGGAGGGTTTTCAGATTGCTTCGGGAGAGCTTTGGAAGTGTTTTCGTTGTTTTTTTTTGGGGGGGGGGCAGACCCTAGCGAACCCTCGGCTTTCTAACCCTGGACCTTAGCGGGCCCTGGAAACGACAAGGCTGTTTTCTTACTGGCTCCGTTCTGCCGCTTTTTTATCGGTTCCGATACCGTTTTTTTACCGGTTCCGTCGCCGTTTTTTGACCGATTCCGGCTCCGGTTCCAATCATGGAGCGGTTTTTCTGCCGTTTCCGGTCGCCGTTTTTTTTGCCGTTTCCATTTTCAAGGGGCAATTTTTCGGAAACGAAAAAAACGGCCCTGCCGTTTCCAGGGCCCACAAAGCCCTGGACCCCATCTTTCTGCTGCACTCTGCGAGGGGGGCGGATCTGTAATGGCCCAGAAGGCCCGAGAGGCAGCAACATCGAATGCCGTGGAGCCATTGCGACGCCAGGGTCTCAAGATCTTGATTTTGTTGAACAAAGTCAAGATCAAGCCATTTTTCATATAACACAAGCGTTTTCGGCTAGCGCTGCTCTGTTCACACGTTGGAAGCACGGGTCTGCTCATCGCCTGTCTGCCTTTGAGCTTCCCTCCTCGCTGTCGCCAGCTTCCGCCGCCATTTTCGCCGAGGAGGAGATGCCAACTCCATCGGTCCTCCAAGGTGAGGCCCTTTCTGGACGTCCTCACGCGGGGATATCCGCGCCGAAAAATATCAATACGTCGGAGGTCGGGGTCTGCCCCGCGGCGAGGAGAAGGAGGAGGAGTGGGAGAAGGCGGAGGAGGCGGAGGAGGAGGAGGCGGCGGAGGAGGAGGAGGCGGAGGAAGCGGAGGAAGAGGAGGAGGAGGAGGCGGAGGAGCAGGAGGAATTCTTAAGGGGAGGAGGAGGAGGAGGAGGAGGAGGGGAGGAGGAGGATGAGGAGAGGAGGAGAAATCCCCGCGCCGGTCGGCCGACCCGCGGTTCCAGAGGTCTGCCCCGCGGCGAGGAGGAGAAGGAGGAGGAGGAGAAGGCGGAGGAGGAGGAGGAGGAGGAGTGGGAGAAGGAGGAGGAGGCGGAGGAGGAGGAGGAGGCGGATGATGCGGAGGAGACGGAGGAAGAGGAGGAGGCGGCGGAGGAGGAGGAGGAGGAGGAATTCTTAAAGGGAGGAGGAGGAGGAGGAGGAGGAGGAGGAGGAGGAGGAGGATGAGGAAGAGGAGGAAGAGGAGGAAGAGGAGGAGGAGGAGGAGTCCTCCGCGCCGTCGGCGAGCCCGCGGTTCCAGAGGTGCTCTGGCACGGCGCACACCTGCCAGCCGCGCAGCCGCAGCAGGGAGAGCTCCGCGTAGCGCCGGGCGCCGAGCACCCTGCCCTTGGCGCGCTGCCTCGTGGGCGGAGCCCTCGCCATCGCTCGGACGCCCATTCGGCGGCGAGCGAGGGGGGTAAGGTTCGGGCTTAGATGGGGGGAAAACAAACCTACCTCGCTTTTGACCACCCTCGCTTCCAAGAGATACCAAGCGATGCCAAACCACGGCCTGTACTGGTCAGGTCGCTTGACGAGGAGGCGCGTGGTATGACTTGGTTTTTCCTGGAAGCGAAAGCGGGGTAGGTAATTCACGCTCTGATTAGAAGGAGAAACAAAAAACTTTTGGCGCTCCGCGCGGATTTCTTGGATTCGCGCTGGACCCCCCTCCCTGGCCCCACGGAGCGCGCAGGGGCGGCGCCGGAGGCGCCGCCAAGGCGCCCAGGCGCGGATCCAAGAAATCCGCGCGGACCCGAGCTATGACCCAAGCAACAAATTCGGCGACGAGCAGGGGGGGGAAGTGAGAAGGAGAAGGCCGCCTCAGAAGGCGGCGGGGCTTCTCTGAAGAGTTTGTCTGTCTTCGGAGAAGGCTCAGAGAACTTCTCAGAAGTCCGGGGGACTTCCGAACCTTGTGAGAACCCACTGCCGATCCATTCCCCGTGCATGTTTCGGCCTCGTGCGCGCATGTTTCGCAAGATGAGCCAAGAGGCTTCTCGATGGTCCTCTCGGGATCCACCAAAAGGGGGGGTGACCCTGAGGGAGGGCATGAGTTCGATCCGCTGGTGCACCGAACTGCCGCAGACAGATGCCCCCCGCATGCCCCACCTGTCGGCAAGTCTCGGGAGATGCCGGCGGCTGGGGGGCATCTCTTCTGGGCGCTTCGGTGCAGAACCCGATCAAACTCTCACACACACACTCATTCCGGGACGCACACACACACACACACTCCCTTTGCGGGATCCAAAGGATGAGCCAAGAGTCGGGGGCGCGCAGACATGGATTAGCGATCCATGGATTTGGCGCGAGGTCGCCAAATCCATGGATCGGGGGAGGAGCCCTCCCCAAAGTGCGGCAACAACCGCCTCGCTCGGCGACGACAACCCGCGATGTCCCACATAAGCGGGACCCGTCGCTAATCCACGCCCCCTGAATCCATGTTTGCGATCGCCTTGCCTTTTGCGGGCCTCTCGATGATCCCCGCCGAGGCCAGGTGCGCACGTCCGAGCGATGCCGAGAGCCAGGGCCGGAGAAAGCCCAGGTCTAAAACAAGGCTAAGATCGGGATAAATCGCTCCAGAACGTTCCGGAGCGCTCTCAGAGCGTTCCGGAACGCTCTGGAGCGGCCGCGGCGCCCAATACATCCTCCAAACCCGCCGATTCTCGGAGATTTCGAGTTATCCCGATCCGATTTTGTCCCGATCTTCGCGTCGTTTTAAGGTCTCCGACGCGTTAACGCTGCAGTCCGGGCGTGCTCCCCCTGGGTTTCCGGGGGCTCCGTGGTCGGCCGTGTCGGGCCCCGGGAGCAGCGTCTCTGTGGCGAACAGAAACAACTTGATGGGCCTGTCTTCCACCACCACCACCATGAGTTGGGGGGGAGGGGGTCCTCCTCCTCCTCATCCACCTCCTTCTCCTCCTCCTCCTCCTCGTCCTCCTCCTCCTCCTCCTTCTCCTCCTCCTCCTCGTCGCTCTCCTCCTGCCCAGCTCATGGTAGTGGTGGTGGAAAACGGGCCCATCACAACGGCCCCTGCGCGAAAGCGGCCGGGACCTCGGGGGGGCCGTGGACCGGAACGCCATCGGACCGAGGGGCCCAGAGGTCAAACTTCTTGCAGCAGTCACGTCTTCGGCCTCGGGGGGCCCTCGCAAGGCCCCCAGGGCCGTCAAGAACGGTCCTGGGGAAAGGGTCGAGACTCCTCCTCCTCCTCCTCCTCCTCCTCCTCCTCCTCCTCCTCCTCCTCCTCATCCTCCCACTATCTCCTCCCCTCCCTCTCCTCACCCCTCCCCTCCCCCTCTCCTCCTCCTCCTCCTCCTCCTCCTCCTCCGCCTCCTCCTCCTTCCAGGTACCGCGTACCTCGGGGTGGCCGTGGACTGGGACAAAATCGGACCGAGGGGGGGAGGGGGTCATGGAACGCACGGGGACGTCCTGGCACTGTGTGTCCTCCTCGGAGGCGTGCGTCCGGCCCGAATATACAGTGTGACCATCTTGGAGTAGATCGTTGCCCGAGCGGAATGGCCAGAAAGCGCCCGCCACGACGCATGTACTATAGGATTTCTCGGTGCGCGCATCGTCCGTGGGGGGGCGATGCACACATACATTGGGGGCCCATGCCAAGAAACACCATGCTTGCCTCCAGGGTGCCTTGGGTTTCTTGGGTCTCCATGGCTTTGCGATGGAACGTGTGACGCTCCCACACCAACAATGAGTGGACGCCCTGGGGTCTCAGGGTTGGGTTTCTTGTGGAAGGTTTCCTGTGGACTGGCCTACATGGTACTAGAAATATGTAGGGGTGCCGCCGAGGTCAGGTCTGAGGTTCGGGGTTTTCGTTGGTTCTCAGCGGCCATCCAGCCTCGGGATGCTCCTCCTGCAGCTGCGCCTCGCCGAGAGAGCGTTCCAGGTGTGCCCAGGTCGTCCCAGACGGCCTCCAGCGAGCAGATTTACTGTAGGAGCTCGACCACACGAAACCTTCCACAAGAAGCCCAACACTGAAACCCCAGGATGTCCGTTGACTTTTGGTGTGAAAGCGTCACGCTTTCGGATCCGAAACGATACCATCGAAACCAAAGAAACCCGGGCCACCCTGGAGGCAAGCAGGGCGTTTCTCGGCAAAAGTTTTCCACTGTACGGCCCGAAGACCATCTGAAGGATGTATCGGGAGCCCCCCCAAGCACGCGATGCCTTTACTTGTTCGATACGGGGACCCCGAACCCCCCACCCGGTCCTCGGGGCTGTTTTTTTTCCACGCGAGTTGTCTGCTGAGTCCGGGGTCCAGGGCCTGGCGAGAGCTCCGGGAGGCCGACAACGGCCCAAACCGTTTGCCCAAACCTTCCCGTCGCGGTCCTTTCTCGACGCGAGCATGTCTGGGGCGGCCGTTCCGGAGCGCTCAAGCACACGATCCGGGGGCGTCGTGGAGCGCACCGGAACGCTGCAACCTAGCTAAGACGAAGCCAGGACGAGGACAACATCGGGTGAGCACGAATAGAAGATCTCTGAGATCTGGCGGCTCTGGAGGATGCCTCGGGGGCCGCGGCATTCCCAGCGTTCTGGAACGCTCTGAGAGCGTTCTGGAACGCACTGGAACGTGTGTATGTATATATATATATATATATATACTAGAACCACGCGCGCGCTTCGCGCGCGCTTAGGTTCTGTCGAGTCACAGACCCAGGAACCGTTGTGAGAAGAAATTGGTGACGCGAAGCGTCGTGGGGGCGTCCTTGGACGTCTGGGGTCTCCTGGGGCCTCTTGAGGGGCCTCCTGGGGGCCTCTTGGCGGCCTCTTGGGGCGGAAGGCTCGAGCTTGCGGTTCGTGGTCCCCCTCTGGGCCCCCTCTTGGGCCCGTCTTGGGGCCCTCTTGGGCCATCTTGGGCGCCTCTTGGGCCGTCTTGGGGCCCTCTTGGGCTGTCCTTGGGCCTCCTTTGGGCCTCTTGGGGGTCTCCTGGGGCCTCTTGAGGGGCCTCCTGATGGCCTCCTGGCGGCCTCTTGGGGCGGAAGGCTCGAGCTTGCGGTTCGTGGTCCCCCTCTGGGCCCCCTCTTGGGCCCGTCTTGGGGCCCTCTTGGGCCATCTTGGGCGCCTCTTGGGCCGTCTTGGGGCCCTCTTGGGCTGTCCTGGGGCCCTCTTGGAAGCTTCTTGGGCCGTCTTGGGGCGGTCTTGGGCGCCTCTTGGGCCGTCCTGTAACGTCGGAAAACCCAAAAGACAACTTTGTTGAAAATGTACGTTTTACGAAGGGAATGGGCCAATTCTTGCGTCTAGGGGCCCTCTTGGGACGCATGTTGGAGGCTTCTTGGGGCCTCTTGGGGGCGTCCTTGGACGTCTGGGGTCTCCTGGGGCCTCTTGAGGGGCCTCCTGGGGGCCTCCTGGCGGCCTCTTGGGGCGGAAGGCTCGAGCTTGCGGTTCGTGGTCCCCCTCTGGGCCCCCTCTTGGGCCCGTCTTGGGGCCCTCTTGGGCCATCTTGGGCGCCTCTTGGGCCGTCTTGGGGCCCTCTTGGGCTGTCCTGGGGCCCTCTGGGAAACTTCTTGGGCGGTCTTGGGGCGGTCTTGGGCGCCTCTTGGGCCGTCCTGTAACGTCGGAAAGCCCAAAAGGCGACTTTGTTAAAAATGTACGTTTTACGAAGGGAATGGGCCAATTCTTGCGTCTAGGGGCCCTCTTGGGACGCATGTTGGAGGCTTCTTGGAGCCTCTTGGGGGCGTCCTTGGACGTCTGGGGTCTCCTGGGGCCTCTTGAGGGGCCTCCTGGGGGCCTCCTGGCGGCCTCTTGGGGCGGAAGGCTCGAGCTTGCGGTTCGTGGTCCCCCTCTGGGCCCCCTCTTGGGCCCGTCTTGGGGCCCTCTTGGGCCATCTTGGGCGCCTCTTGGGCCGTCTTGGGGCCCTCTTGGGCTGTCCTGGGGCACTCTTGGGAGCTTCTTGGGCCGTCTTGGGGCGGTCTTGGGCGCCTCTTGGGCCGTCCTGTAATGTCGGAAAGCCCAAAAGGCAACTTTGTGAAAAATGTACGTTTTACGAAGGGAATGGGCCAATTTTTGCGTCTAGGGGCCCTCTTGGGACGCATGTTGGAGGCTTCTTGGGGCGTCTTGGGGGGCGTCCTTGGACGTCTGGAGGCCATCTTCAGCATCTCGGAGCCCTCTTGGAGGCCTCTTGGAAGTTTCTTGGGCCGTCTTGGGCGTTTCTGGGGCCGTCTTGTCTGACCGGGGAGGCCTCCGGCAAGCCCCGACGAGCCTCCGGGGCCCCCGGGGTGCACATTTGTGGTCGAGGTCCCGGCCCCGGGCCCCCGGACCCGGTGCGCCGTTATATGTATATATGTATTTATTTATACACGTATATATAAAATGATAATACATACGTACGCTCCAGTGCGTTCCAAATATTGCTGCTCCAACTATTATTTTGGGGAGCAAACAATGACATGAACATGAACAACTCGGAGGTCCGCCGGATTTCTCGGATCGGCGCTGGACCCCCCTCCCTGGCGCGCGGAGCGCGCCAGACGCGGCGCCAGAGGCGCCACCCAGTGGCTCCAGCGCCGATCCGATCAATCTGCGCGGACCTCGGAGTTGCTATGTCTATGCCATTGTTTGGTCCTCGCTTGTCCTCGTCACGACCATGAGACCCTCCGCCGGCCAAAATGAAGAGCATTCGAGGGTACCCTCCCCCAGGATGCACAAGAACATCCATCAAACACGAAGAACACCAGGGTACCCTCCCCGACCCGACCTCGATCTATAGACCTCGGTCCGACTGTAGCTCCTTCCTGAGCGGGCCCCGGGAACGGCAGGGCCGTGATTTTGCACCGTTTTCGCAAGAGGCGCCAAACGGCAGAACGGAACCCGTAACAGAAAACGGCCCTGTCGTTGATCGCTGATTGTCCAGAACAGAACCCCTCGCCCTTTGGGAGGGGCCCTGAGTTCAGAGCGCCAGGTACACTGGGGAGAGGGTGTCTGCTCTGCAGATACATCGCACCACACCGCCCAGATGTCTCATCCCTAATGCGAAGACGGGGACCTCAGTGAGGCTACGTCTTCATCGTGATATTATGAAGGGGCCCTGGGACACACAAATACATACACACAAATAGCATGATTTCCCATATGTTTCCATATTTTCTGGGTTGTTGTCTTCCCCCCCCACTTCCCATAGTTTCTTATATGTTCTGGGGAATCGACGATTAATTGTGTCTGTGTTTTTTTGTTCCCTCCTGATATTAGGGTTAAGGAGGCTTCTCTGATCCTCAGTGAGGCGCTCCCAGGGCCCGCTTGCCAGGCCCCGCCCCCGTGCCTGGCGCCCCGCAGCTGGCCGGAGGCGTGGTAGAAGTCGCCCTCCCGGAGGAACGGGGGCTGCCGAAGGCGTCCCTCTGGCCCAGGGCTTGGGTCGGACGAGAGGGCTCGCTGCTGCAGCTCATCGAGCAGGGGCTCGACTGCAGAATTGGTTTCCTCCAGGCCTGATGTGCTGTCGAGCCCACGACTGCTACGAATACTGCCCCGTAGAGACCTACCGACATGCTACGTACTGGTTCGTGGATGAGACGAAAACATCGAGCTGAGGGGAAATGTGGATCCATGATGTAGTCGATCCCCTACTCGAATTCTTTGGAGCCTCCCATGCCATTTTGCTGGCCCTCGCGAGTCGACGATGACCGACGCTCATCGACGATGTTCGACGTGATATCGGCGCTTTCACGTCGGGTACCAGACGCTATCGCACGCCAGTGCACTCCAAAGGCGGAGGTACGAGGACAGACTGGGCTCCCATGAGATGCTGCCACAAGCAGAAGTATCCAAATGGGGAGTTCACGCATACACTCACGTGTCCGATTTCCCCAGCCCTTCCTGGCGCCGCGCCCGATACCGGAGCGAAGCGGACGAACTGTAGTTACGCCTGCATGGCGCGGGAAAACATGTTGACGAAACGTTCCTCAAAGACTGCCAAACAGGTCGGACGAAAGACAGGCTTCGCAAAGAAAGGGGGGTAGCATTCGGTCGGGCATGCCCCCCTACAGGCGGATTTTGGGCGAAAGAGATATTCCATACATGCCCCCAGACTCTTTATTTAGAAAAATGTTGGGCAGTCCTCCTGAAGAGAAACACGCCCGACTTTGGGGTGGCAGCCCAGCTCACGTAGCTGGTTGACTCGGCGCCTCCCAGAGCCAGAAGCGCCAGCGTACCGAGGAAAAGCGCCCGCCAGAAAACCAGCTACGTGCAGCAGATGTCGTAGCTTCCTCTCCCTGCAGTTAAAGCGCACGATGAGGATCCAAGAGGCTTGGAAGGCCATGTCGACACTTTTTGAACGGGGCGCGACCAGCGAAACTGGCCAAGGCTGGGCCCGATGGGGGAGGATCCAAGAGTGACCTTGAACAGTCGTCCATCGTTCTGTGCGCTTTGGCTGTATCCCCTATCTCCCCCTTTTCGGCGGACCAAAGAATTGCCCCCAGCTTCCCGCGCCACTCTGAAGCTCTCAAGCGCGAGGGACACCCGTACCCTTGCCCAGGCGGGGTGGCAAGGGGCGGGGGGAGCGCCGCACCGCAGCCGACGGCGGTTGCACAAGTGCAGATGCCACCGCCCATGGAACATTACAGGACGCTGTCTTCTCTGGGCATCCGCTGGCACCCTGGGCCACTGGCACCTCGCCATGTGCGAAAAACACATCCGCCACCGCGGTCTCGCGGGCCGAGCCCCCGGGCCGCGACCAAGCGGATACGTACGGGGCGTTTTTGTTCGCGGCCGTCCCGGGCGGAACGTTTTTCCGTGCGACCGCGCCTCCGCAGGATCGCGCCCGGGATGCCAGAGACCGCGCGGCCGGGTACATGGATACGTTCTCCGCTCGTGGCCTTGGGCCAGGGACACTGTGGCGCCTGTTCCATGAGAGCTTATAGAGGTCACGCGGCCCCCCTCGACTGCCCGACTTGGGCCTGATTTGCACCGGATGTTGACCAGACTCGCCTCTTCGCAAGAGGGGGACGAGAAGCACGAGGCGGGGGAGGGAGGAGCAGCAGGGGCGCCGAGGCGCAGGAGGGGGCCACGCTCGGCCCGGAGGCGGCCCGGCTGCAGGAAAAACACGCGGCTCCACCTCCGCCGCTGCCGATCGGCTCCATGGAGCGGTCGCCGAGGGACACCTCTGGCAGCACCCGGGGAGGAGCTCCACCAGCACGTGCGTCTCCGGCTGCGGCCCGCGCCCCTCGGCCGCCGCCCCGCCGCCCGCCCCGCCCGCCCCGCGGAGCTCGCCGCGGCCCGCGCGGCGCCGCCGCCCGCGGCCCTCGGGCGCGCCGCCCGCCTCCGCCGCGGCCCCCGCCGCGGCCCCCGCCTCCGCGCCGCCCGCGTCTGGCGCTTCCGGCTCCCAGCCCGCGCCCTCGGGCCAGGCGCTCCAGGCTCCGCCGTCCTCCGCGGGGCAGGGGAGCCCCAGGATCGCATCGACGAGGCGCCGGATCGGCGATCGACCCCCACCGGCCCGGCTCGGCGGAACTCGGCCGCCAGGTCGGGAGGAGTCGAAGCGGCGGGAATCGGCACAGCCTCCATTGAGAGATCGGAGCCCAGATTGGCATCCGAAGCGGGATCGACTCAGAACCGGAGCCCATCGACACCGACATCGAACCGAACCGCGCGCCGTGCGCCCGCTTCCTCCGCCTTCCGGTTCCTCTCCCCCCCCCTCCTCCCCCTTTTCTCCCTCCGGAGTATCCCCCCTAGTCGCCGGGCGTCCTTGCCCGCGCTCGGTCTTTCACCCCCCCCTTCCCTCTGGCATTTGGCCAGGGCGGCGGGGCCGGACAGGTATCTCCGCATCCAGAAACATGAAGCGAAGAGGCCGAACCGAATCGGAGGAATCGAAACGAGCCCTGCGGCTGCGCAGTCCTCCGCGGGGCCGTCCAGCGGGCGGCTCTGCAGGTGCTCGGCGAGCTCCACAAGGCTCAGGGCGAAAGGCACCCGCACGGGCCCAACCTGCACCGGCCGCGACGGGCTCACGCCGGCCCACGTGGAGAGCTCCCTGCCGACCGCCAGCTCGAAGTCGTCCGCGTCAGCGCCTGGAGGAGGAGGGGGAGGAGGAGGATGAGGAGGAGGAGAAGGAGGAGGAGGAGGCGGAGGAGGAGGAGGAAGAGGAGGAGGAGGAGGAGGAGAGGAGGGAGGAGGAGGGAGGAGGAGGAGAGGAGGAGGGAGGAGGAGGAGGAGAGGAAGGGGAGGGGGAGGAGGAGAAGGGGGGAGGGAGGAGGAGGAGTAGGAGGAGGAGGAGAGGAGGAGAGGAGGGAGGAGGAGGAAGGAGGAGGAGAGGAGGAGGGGAGTAGAGGAGGAGGAGGAGGAGGAGGAGACGGAGGAGGAGGAGGGAGGAGGAGGAGGAGGAGGAGGAGGAGGAGGAGGAGGAGGAGCAGAGGGAGGAGGAGGAGGAGGAGGAGGAGGAGGAGGAGGAGGAGGACGAGGAGGAACAACGGCATAAACATAATCTTTTGGAGGTGCGCGCGGATTTCTTGGATCTGCGCTGGACCCTCCTCTCTGGCGCGCGGAGCGCGCCAGGGGGCGGCGCAAGAGGCAAGAAACCCGCGCGGAGCGCCAAGAGTGTATGTTTGTGGCATTGTTTCGTCTTCGAGCCTGGGCCCCCGCAGGGGGCTGCCAGCGCGGCCTGCCAGGCGGCAACGGCGTCCGGCTGCCCCACGGCCGCCGCGTCCCCCGCGAACGGAAAGAGGCAGGGCCCGCCGCCTGGGGCCCGCACCTCGCCGGGGCGCCCCTCGGCGGCCAACAACACTCGCCAGAGCGCCGCCGTCATCTCAGCGGTGAGGTGGCGAGGCCGCTGCTGGATCAACCCGAAGATGGCTGATGGGCCGGTTGTCCACCACCAGTACCATAGGTAGGAGAGGGAGGAGGAGAAGGAGGAGGAGGAGGAGGAGGAGCAGGAGGAGGAGGAGGAGGAGGAGGAGGACCTCCCCATCCTCCCTTCTCCCCCGCCCAACCTGTGGTAGCGGTGGTCGGAAATGGGCCCATCAATGGCGGCCGCCTCCAGCGCGGTGGCCGCGGCGCGCGCCGACCTCACCGCGGCGGCGGCCCTCTCGAAGATCAGGGCGGCGTCGGCCAGGCGCGGCAGGTTGAGGCGCGCGAGCGCCAGCGCCGCGTCCGCCAGCGCCTGCTCGCCGAGGGGCTCGTCCTCGGGCGGCCGCGCCGGGGGCGCCGTGGCCTCCGAGGCCGTGGAGAGGTCCTCCACGCACAGCTTCTGGCACACGTGGAACCAGTGCGTGTCGCGCACGCCGGCCTCCCCGAAGGCGCGCAGCATGCGGCAGAGCTGCCCCGCCTCCGGCTGCAGCTGCCGCTGGGACATGCTCTGCAGCAGCCCCAGGAGCGCCTCCCGGGCCTCCCACGGGTGGGGCCGCAGGGCGGCGAGCACCTCGGCCGCCTCGCAGACCTCCTCCGCGGAGAGCATGGCTGCGGCTTCGGGGCTGCAGAGGCGCCAGCAGGCCGCGGAGTGTGCCCTCGCGTGCCCGCCGAGCCTCTGGACGACCTTGAGCGTGGCGAGGCACGACTGCGCAGTGGCCGAGCGAATGCGGTAGGCAACCTCGTCGAGGAGCCTCGGCGCGCACTGCGCCTCGAGCTCGGGCAGGTGGCAGAGCATCTCCAGAAGCCGCACCGACTGCGCAGGCATGAACTCGTGGTGCACCAGCTCGGCCCGCTTGGCCACCCGGCGCAGCAGGCGCGGCTGGACGAGGTCCGCGCGGCCCTGGCGCGCCAGTGACGCCAGCGCCAGGCAGAGGTGAAGGAGATCGTTGCTCCGGAAGGAGAACAAGCTCTGGTCACACTGGGCCAACAACGCCTCAACGAATGGAAGGTGAGGCAGCCCCCCGGGCTCTTCGTCCTCCACCGAATCTGGCGCACCGTCGTCCTCGGGCCCCTGGCTAAGCCCCTCCAGGCGGAACATGGATCCTGCAGTGGCTTCCTGGTCGTGCTGCGCAGGCAGCGTGAAGGCACAGAGCAAAGTGGACAATGTATGCCCGTCTCTGATCGAATTCACGCGCGGCGTAAGCACCGCGACGACGCGGTCGAAGACCGGCTCACGAGAAGAGTCATTGAGCCTGGCATACGCGAGCGCTAACAAAGCCAGGTTGTCCGCCCGCGTCTGATCTCGGATGCGACGCAGCAGCGGCGGCAGCAGTGACCTGCTGAGCAATTCGTCCCTAATGGTCAGCTTGGCGAATGCGTTCGTCAATAGAGCAACATCGTACACAAGAAATCGACGGGTCTTCGTCCGCACCTCCTCCAGGAGGTGCTCCATGAAGCCAACGTCCCTGTGGCGGCTCTTCCCGAGCGCGTCGGCCACCAGCGCCAGGTCCATGGGCTTCATCTCGGACCGCAGCAGGGCAGCCCGATACAGCAGCGCGTCCCACAGCTGGCGGTCGACGATGCGCCGTGCCGCGGCGTCCTGGAGCGCCTTGACCAGCGCCGGCGGATCCAACTTGTAGACCCTCTTGAAGCTCGTTTAACCGATCCCCATCCCCAGCGGCGTGGCCTGGGCCCCGCTGGCCCATTTACCCCCCTGGATGGGGATGTAGGTCGTTCTCCTCGGGTTTCGAGGGGCGCATCCCCAACTGGGGCGGTAATTTGGTGGGGGCCTCGAAGGGGACGGGGATGGGGATGGGGATCGGTTAGACGATACCGACCTCTTGAGGCTCCCGATCCCCAACTGCCGCAGGGAGTGGGTCGACATGCCGGCCGGCAGCCCGGAGGGCCATCCCGGCGGCGCGCGCTCGGCGGGTCGGCGAGGACGCCAAGGGGCCGCAGGGAGGAGGGGTGGAGGCCCTGAGCAAGGCTGCGGGCACACGCACACAAACACATACACACACACATTTGAGCATGGACCGACCGTCCCGGCATTTCTGTAGGCCTACCACGAAACGTTCTCAGAACCCAGAAATGTTCGAACAACAAAAACAATGTTCTCAGAACCAAAAAAGTCTCTAAGAACAAGAACGAGGTTCTCAGAACATAATCTCGATGTGTTGAAACAAGAGAGTCCCAGCCAGAACTGCTCTAAGGACATTGCGTGGAATCCACAAAAAGTTCTTAGAACATTGTCTGGTAGGCCTCTAGGCGAGCCAGGACGCTTCGCCACTGTTTGACACATACAGACACACGCACACGAAAACACGCGCCAACACAGACCGCATAACCGATGTGTCCAAATATACCTCCTGCTTCTGCCGTGCCGTGTGTGGGTGGTGGGATGGAGGGAGGGGCACCTCCCCGTCCCACAGCAATTGCGGTCGGCCCAGAGAGCCGTGGTCGCTGGGTCGGCACCGCCCGCTTGAGAACAAGACGTACAGAGATTCAAGCCTCCGCTTCGGCCGACAGCAACAATGACACTGGCGCTCAAACCCTCTGACATGCCGGCTCTGGTGCACCGTCCGGACGAGGGGCGCTTGCCAACGGCTGGCGCGCTGGCTTGCCGGAGGGGGCCTTCTTCAGCTCCCTAAGGTAATCCTTTTTCTTCATCTCCGCCAGCGGCACCTTTGGCTTGGTGTCAACCCACCTGCAGATGCGCAGTTTCTTTTGGTTTCAGCCGAGAATGAAGCGACAAACATGCATTCCATGTCTTCACACTGTGCTCAACAAGCTAAGCACCTTGCCCGTGTCGCGAATCGTCAGCAAAACAGCGGTGGCGATCGCTGACAAGCATCCTATTCTATGTAGACATCCAATGCGGGACAAGCGAGAAGAGCATGCGCATCACTCTTGCTCCTCCTCCTCCTCCTCCTCCTCCTCCTCCTCCTCCTCCTGATCCACCTCCTCCTCCTCCTCCTCCCGCTCCTCCTCTTGTTCCTCCTTATCGTCATCATTATCAACCTCCTCCTCCTCCTCCTCCTCCTCCTTCTCCGGCTCCTCCTCCTCCTCCTCCTCCTTCTCCGGCTCCTCCTCTTGCTCCTCCTTATCATCGTCACTATCATCCTGTACGTCTCTGCCTCCCCCTCCTCCGCCCGATGTGCGACGGGGCGCACAAAGTAGCAGAGTCGCCCTTGCCATAGTCGTTCGCCTGCACGGTGCCCGCGGAGCCGTTGTAGTCGAAGTTGGGCCTGGATACGATCCAGCCGCCTGCGCTGGGCAGTCGCATGATGAGGATGAAGGGCTGATGCCGGGTCGGGACACGATCCATCCGCCCGAAGAGAACTAGGAGAGAGAGCGCGGGGTAGGAACACGACGAGAAAGAGAAGGCGAAGGAGAACGAGGAGAACGAGGAGGAGGAAGACGAGGTGGGGACGAGAAAAAGACAGGGCTAGGAGGAGAAGGAGGGCGAGAGAAAGAGAGGGCAAGGCGGATCGGGGGGTCGAGATGATGACGGGGGGGGAGGACGAGGGAGGGAGGACAAGGGAGGGAGGACAACGGGGACGGGGGAAGAGGAGGAAAGAAAAAGACGCAGCAGGTGGAGGAGGAAGGAGGGGGAGGACATCGACGACAACGAGGGGGGGACCAAGTGAGGCTTGAAAAGCAGCCAAGAGAAGACCACAGGGGCGCCTCCCCTGGGTCTCCACGGAGCTTCCAGCCCGACCCGCCCCAGCCCCGCCAGTGGGGGCGTCCTGGAAGTGTCGTGTCTGAAGCGTGGCGGGAGCGCTGCTCCGGCGAGAAGATCCTTGGCTTTTCGATTGGCGAGGCCTCCTCCAACCTCCCTCCTCCTGCGCCTCCAGCTCCTGGTCCCTCCTCCTCGTCCTCCTTCTCCTTCTTCCCATCCCCCTCTACTCCCCGCCCCTCACCTGCACCCTCCCCCTACAGCCTACAACCTCCCCCACCCCTGCTCCCCCGCCTTCCCCATCCGCCTCCACTTTCAGGTCGCTCACGCCCCCATCCTGTCCAGCTAGCCTGGCCGAGTCTGGCCGCGACGCTGAGGGCACTCCCTCCTGAGAAGGGCAGACGAGGAAGCGGGGGGAGAAGGCGGGTGAGGTGATGGAGGAGGTGAGGACAGAAGAGGGAGAAGGGTGGATAGGGGGAGGAGGCAGAGAAGAAGCACCACGACCGCTGGGGAGGAGAATGAGCAGAAGGAGGAGGATGAGGAGGAAAAGGAAGCAAGGGCCGAGGTGAGGAGACGGAGGAGAAGCAGCAGCGGTAGCCTCAGGACGAATTCGACGGGGACGAAGATACCGAGGGTGATGCTCGAAGTCCGCGCGGATGTCTTGGATCCGCGCGGGACCCCCCCCTCCCCGACGCGCCAGGGGCGGCGCGGGAGGCGCCTCCAAGGGGAGGACAGCGCCGATCCGAGAAACCCGCGAGGACCGCGGAGAACATGTATGTCTACGCAGTTCTTCCTCCTCGAGGCAGGAAGGGAGACGGCGAGTGGGGGTGGTGAAGAAGGGGGCGCAAAGGAAGCGAAGGAGGAGGATGAGGAGAAGGAGGAGGAGAAAGAGGAGGAGGAGGAGGATGAGGGAGAAGGCGGAGGAAGAGGAGGAGGAGGAGGAGGAGGAGGAGGAGGAGGAGGAGGAGGAGGAGGAGGATGGGGGAGGAACAGGGGGGACGTCACCCCACCCGGCGGCCAGGGCGGGCCAGGACGACCGACCGCGGAGGCGGGGTGCAGAGGAGACGAGCAGCGCAGAGGGCGCGCCTGGCACGTAGAACTCCACGAGGAGGGGCTCGCCGCCGAGGTCGAAGCGGCCGTAGCTGGCGTCCTTCGCCAGGCCTACGCCCAGGGGGCGGAGCAACCACGCGCGCCACGAACTTCTCCGCGCCCCTCCCTCCGTCCCCTGCTCCGTTCCAGCGTCATCCCGCCATCCCTCCTCCCCTCCCATCTCGTCCCGCACCCCTCTCCCTCCTCCTCCTCCTCCTCCTCCTCCTCCTCCTCAACCTCCTCCTTCTCCAACAACAGCTCCTCCAACTCCTCATCTCGTCATCCCCCCCTCCGCCTCCTCATTTCCTCTTCTCCTCTTCTCCTTCCCCTTCCCCTCCCCCTTCTCCCACTCCGCTTCGCATCTCCTATCGTCCTCTTCCTTCCCCATGCTCTTCGTCCTCGCCCCCGGCTCTCCCCTTGCTCCTCCTCCTCGTCCTCCTCCTACTCCTCGTCCTCCTCCTCCTCGTCCTCCTCTTCTCTCCTCCTCCTCCTGCTCCTCCTCCTCCTCCTCCTCCTCCTCCTCCACCTCCTCCTCCTCCTCCTCCTCCTCCCCCTCCTCCTCTTTTCCTCCTCCTCCTCCTTTCCTCGTCCTCGTCCTCGTTCTCGTCCTCGTTCTCGTCCTCGTCCTCGTCCTCCTCCTCCTCCTCTCCCGATCCCCCTCCTCCTCCTCCTCCTGCTCCTCCTCCTCCTCCTCCATAACCCTCCTCCTCCTCCTCCTCCTCCTCCTCCTCCTCCTCCTCCTCCTCCTTCCGATTCCTCGCCTCCGCGACCCCGTCCGTGGCAAGATTGACCGACCACGGGCCCACGTTGGCACGCCTGTGGTCGTTGGAGCGCCGGCCGCCCCCCGAGGGGCCAGACTTCTGGGCACGTCGCCCGGGGGGGTGGGAGCACGACCGCGCTCTGCCCCCGCGGGGCCGCCGTCGGCTCCACACCGCTTCGGGAGGTACCCACTGCGTGCAGCGGCAGGCCGTTCGGAGCCCCCCAAAAAACCTCACGGCACGGCCCGTCGCCGCACGGCTTTGGGCACCCTGGAGGCCCCAGCCGCCCGAGGCATCGTCGGACACCGGTGGAGGACGACCCAAGCCGCCAGAAGCGTGCGGGCGCCCCGGAATCCCCACCGACTCGCCATGCGGCGCGGCCGCCGCACCGCTCGGGGCCCCCCGACCCTTCCTCTCCGCTGTCGGGGGCTCCGGGGTCCAACGGACGGGGAGACTCCACCGCGTGCCCCCGCTGAGCGGGCTGAACCCCCCGGGTGCGCGGCTTGCGGATCGGTGCTTGCGATGCGGCCGCACGGGCCTGCATGCTCGGGCTTGCTCCCGGGCCCCCCTGAGAGCCGCGCAGGAAACTTCACTCCAGCGAGGGGTGACTCTCGCGTGGGAACGACTGCCCCCCCCCCCCCCCGTCGGGACGACGGAGGCGGCACCCGAGGGAAACGGGCCCTGGCCTCCTCCTCCTCGTTCACCTTTGCCGCCTCCTCCTCGACTGCCTCTTCCTTCACCTTCTTCGCTTCATCTTCCCCTTTTCCTGCCTCCTCCTCCTCCTTTTCCTCCTCCTCCCCGCCATGTCCTCCTGATCCTCCTGATCCTGATCCTGATCCTGATCCTGATCCTGATCCTGATCCTGATCCTCCTCCTCCTCCTCCTCCTCCTACTCCTTCTTCTCCCATCAGAGCAGCAGAAGGAGCAGCAGCAGCAGCAGCAGAAAAAGGAGAACGACGACAACGAACGAGGCGGAGGCCGGACGAGGCAGAGGAGGAGGAGGAGGAGGAGTAGGAGGAGGAGCAGGAGGAGGAGGGAGGAGGAGGAGGAGGGGAGGAGAAGGAGGAGGAGGAGGAGGAGGGAGGAGGAGGAGGAAGGAGGAGGAGGAGGAGGAGGACGGGGAGGAGGAGAAGGAGGAGGGAGGAGGCGCTCTCCATCGCCTTCCAGGACTTCCGTGTTTACGTAGTGACAAAAACGCTTGCAGCTGAGCGCTCGGGTAACACGTCGTCGCGAGACATACGATCTAGACTCTAGATGCTCGCGACTGGTGTTGTTGGAATTGGCACTGCGGCGGAAAGAAAGACAGGGGCAAAGGAAATTCGCTCCTTGATGGCCTCTGCGCAGTTGGCCCATCCATGACAGTCCCCCCCAGCCTCCGTCTTCCTATCGGGAGCGGCCAAGAGGGGGGTGTCCAAGAGGGGGGGGTGCAAATCATGACCGGCGGCATGTGCGCGGCCCAGCGGGGGGGGCCAGGGACGTAATGAAATGAGAAGAGGCGCCATGAAATCTGGGGAAATATCATGGCCCACGCCATGATATCCCCCCCCCTAGTCATCACCCCCCTCTTTTCCGCCCCCGATCCTACTCAGACGGCAGCTGCAGGCTGGGAGCTCCGGCAATGACGAAGCGTGCAAGATTCGGCCTCCCGTCCGTGCTGCTGTTCCGCCTCCCCTTCTCCTTCCGTGGTCTCTGCCGATCTTGAGACTGGCGGCCCCACCCAGTCTGCCTTCGGTATCCTCCTCCCCCTCCTCCTCTTCTTCCTCCTCCTTCCCCTCCCCTGATTGCCCTTCCTCTTCCTCCTCCTCCTCCTCCTCCTTCTCCTCCTCCTCCTCCTCCTCCTCCTCCTCCTCCTCCTCCTCCTCCCCCTCCCCTGATTCCACCTCCTCCTCCTCCTCCATTCCATGTCCTCATGAGTAGATCTTCCCTGTCGCACCCCGCAGCGTGTTGGTAGGGCGGGCAAGGCGCTTCGCCCGAGGCTCCTCCGTCATGTACGTATGGTCATGAAGCTTGGAATACAAGGCAGTGTTCAATACATGGGATGTTTGAGAATATAGGAGTTGTAATACATGATCAGTTTATGAATACATTTATGCATGAACTCATCGTTGTCTTGAGGACTAAATCCCTGCATGTTTTAATACATGATCCGCGCGCGGAGCATGTATTAAAAACGGCGCTGTATGGTCATGAAGCTTGGAATACGCAGCAATAGGGCGGGACGGTTTCAAAATGTGGCCCTCGCAGCAGAGGCGCGCATGTTCGTCCTACGAGGGTCACCTTACATCGACAGCCCATCTGCGCAAACAATTCCATCTTCCATACAACATGGTCAAGGATCGAGGCCGTTCCGCTTCAACATATGACTCTTGTTTTAGCGCTGCGCGCACTCGTTTGAAAAGTTAGCTGCAGGTTCGAGGATGCAGGGTAGCTCCTAGTCAAAACGTGGCTCTCGCCTCAGCGCCGCGCGCATGACCTTTGAGAAGGGAAAGGGTGTATTGCAACATCCTTGACGGGTCCTGGGTTTGCACTGGTCCTTGTCATCCTCCCCTCGCCCTCACCCTCCCATCTCCCGACTGGCGAGTCGAATGCGCCAAGCCGCTTCCCAGGCTATCCGCCCTTGCCGCGCCGATGGGCACTCTGCTGATCCGACTGCCTCCTCTCCTGTCGGGCTGGTGGTCATGAGGGGTGACCTACTTAGGGTTAGGTCGGGCATGTCCCCCTACAGGCGGGTCTTGGGCGAAACATAAAAAATAACCAAACAACATTCAAACACACACACACACAGAAACATTTAGAACAGCGTCCCCATACTATTGTTCAACATATTTTTGAATATTCCCCCCGTAGAGGGACATGCCCGACTGAAACTCAGGGGGGCTGAGGCACGGGCCCTGCTCACAGGGGCCCTTCAGGGCCCCTGTGGGCCCTGTCAGGGGCCCCAAAAGGATCCTCCAGGGCCCCCCTGGGGTCCTGCAGGGCCCCGTGCGGGCCCTCGTCCCCATCCCCCCCAGACATCCGCCGATCTGCCTTGTTCCAGCCGCAGCCCCAGGGGTCCCGACCCCTTCCCGACTGGGGGGGGGTGTTCCGCCCCGGAACCGTCCTTGAGGGTCCCCTGGCCCGAGAACGGATATCTGGCCCCCTCCCGCCATTCGGGTCCCCAGCCCCATGACCGCCCGCCCGGCCCCTCGCCGAGATGCCCCCTCCCGCCTATGGGCTCGACAGCCACGCGCCAGCCGTCTCGCGGCGCGGGGAGGGGGGTGGGCGGGCGAGGGCGTGCTGTCGTCCTCGTCGTCGTCGTCGTCGTCGTCGTCGTCGTCGTCGTTGCTTTCGCCGTCGCCGTGGGTCACCGCTGGCGTCGGGGGGAGGGGGGGGTATGTAGGAGAAGGAGGAGGAGGAGGAGGAGGAGGAGGAGGAGGAGGAGGGCGGGGAGGAGGACAGGGAGCGGGAGCATGCACGCAAGCAGGAGCAGGACTGGGCGGGGAAGGGCGGCGGAGGCGAACAGGAAGGGGGAGTGTGATGAGGAGGGTGGGAGGGGGTCGTGACGAAGAGGAGTAGGTGGACGCATCGGGTGCACTCACGAGCAGGGGAAGGGGAAGGAGTGGGAGAAGGAGGGGAGAGCAGGAGGAACCACGCTAGAACAAGGGAACACAAGCTGTTGGGGGATCGAGGTGAGATGATGGAAAGGGAGATGGAAAGGGAGATGGTAGTACTCAGGGGAAGAGAGATGACACACGAGGATTGCAAGACAGATGCGCGCGCCGGCGGAAAGATCACTGGAAGAGGTTCCGGTCGGAACCACGCCAGCCCAGCAACAGCGTTCCGATTCAACTGTGAGAGCAATACAGACGCGGGAGAGAGGCGGTCCAGGCGCTGAGCAGTATCAGGGCAGAGGAGATTAGATTTCACGCTGTGTGAGTTCAGAGGAGGGGAGGATGGAAAGAAGAGAAGAGGGGTGGGGAGTGAAGAGTCTAATTACGAAAGGAGAGGGGGAGGGCAGAGGAGGGGAGAGGGCGAGATGGGAGGGAAACGATCGACGGACGAGTCTGCAGTCGTCCAGAGGCGGCCCAAAAGGGGCGGCAGGCGCCAAACGTGCTGGCCCACGCGGGGGGAATGCTCGACGCATTGCTCTTTGGCATGTGTTCTGTTCGGTGCCAGACGTGCTTGCACTTCGAGGTGCATGCAGAGGTTCTGCATCCGCAACCGTACCCCGAAGCACGAAGTGGAATGTCCTCAGGTCCCCATCGAGTTTCTGTACTGTGTTTGGTAATACTCTGAATGGGGCCCACATCTCGCATGTCCAGGCGCTCTTGAGGCGATCCGCGTGCTTGCGTATGATTTTTCAAAAGGCTAGAGGGCCCAAAGACGGGCCAGGAGGTTCGCAAGAGGCCTCCAAGATGGTCCAAGAGAGCCCCAGGACGCCCAACATTCTGGCCTCAAGACAGCCGAAAAGACCCTAAAAGAAACCCCAAGAGGGTCCCAAGAGGCAGCAGTCAGGCAACATGTGTCGATCCCCCGAATATTTGGAAGGAGTTTAGCGTTCTCGCCTTTCAGGGCCCCCGCCGTTCCAAGACGGCCCACGAGGTACCCCAAAAACCACCCCAATACGGCCCAAGATGTCCCCAAGAGGACCCCAAAACGGCCAAAGAGGCCCCCAAGATGGCCCAAGAGCCCCCAGAGGGGGAACTCGAACTTACATTTCGAGCCCACACTTCCGCCCCAATATGACCCTCGAGACCGCCAGCAGGCCCGAGGGCCACGGGGTAACTAATCGCGCTGCTGTTCTGCATTGTTTCCCGAGTGCTGTTTCGCACTTGCGTCACGTCGCGTCTCCGTTCGGTAGATTCTCTGTTGCACCGGCCTAGGGGAACAACAAACGGCATTCACATAATTTCTTGGAGGTCGGCGCGGATATCTTGGATCGGCGCTGGACCCCACTCTCTGGCGAGTTGAGCGCGTTAAAGGCGGCGCCGGAGGCGCCGCTAGGGGAGCCCGACGCAGCTTTAAGACATCCGCGCGGACCGAGAAATTATGTACATGCTGTTTCTTACTCGTAAGATGAAGCCAAAACGAGAATAACATCGGGTGATAATAAATCGAAAATATCAGAGATCTGGCGACTCTGGAGGATGTCTCGGGCGCCGCGGCCGTCTCAAAGCGTTCCCGAACGCTCTGAGAGCGTTCCCGAACGCTCTGGAACGGATGCATCCTCGTCCCGGCCTCGCCCGAAGGGGGGTAGGCAAGCGGGGCCACCCAGGAGGAGGCGAGAGCAGCAGCCGTGACCGTTGCACAAGAGGCTGGCCTGGGAGCACGAACAGAAACACGAGTTGCGCTGCGTGAGCCCCGAATCAGGTCCCGATAATTGTCGTTACAAACATCTCCCCGCCCGCCCCATCCGCAACGGCTTTTCATTGCGACGCACCTACTACTCTGAGAGACTAGCAGCAGGAGGCGAGCACAACGTCGTTTGTGTTTAAACCGTCGTTTTTCAATAAAACGGTGCAACAAACGAAAACGGCGAAATCCTCAAATCGACTCGCTTCGTTTCAAAACGTCGTGCGCGAAAATAAAAACAAAACGGTTGCGTGCTCGCGCCCGAAAACACAAGGGAAAACGAAACGGCCGCGCGACGAACCTTGAAAACGAACCGGCAAAACAAACAAGTTCTTGGATTCGCCAGAGTTTTAAGGAATTCTGACATTGCTTTCTTTTCAGCCCAAAGAACACCATATCACAATTCCTTTGTTGAGGCCTTGGGTTCGGCAGAGCCTCGCCCAAGAAGACCATGTCAAACATCCTTGGGTTCTGCAGCGAAAAACAGAAGGATGTCTGACATGGTTTTGCCTTCAGCCCAATGCAAGCCACACCGCAATTCCTCAGATTTGGCATAGGTAAACCCAAGGAAGCCATGTCAAAAACCATTGGGTTCTGCAGGGCAAAATTTGGCATGGCGTTTCTTCCCAGCCCACAGCAGGCCATACCAGAATTCCTTGAGGTGGGCAGAGGCTCGCCCAAGGAGACCATGTCAACGAACACAACGAAACGATGAGCCGTAACGCCCGCACGCCGCGATGGGAAAACAAAACGCAAAAACAAAACGGCGCCATGCAATCGGAGAAATACGTAACGGTAAAACAAAACGTCCGTCGCGAATGAGGTCCTTGCGCGGCGCGGTGCGGTCTGGCGGCATTGAAACAACACGTCGTTTTTGGGCGTTTCAAAACAAAACGCTTCGTAACAAAACGAAAGCGATGTGAACAATTAGACAAACAACGTTCTGCTGGCCTCCTAACTAGCAGCACCGTGCATGCGGCAAGGGGCGGCCCCGGAAGATGGAGGCGAGAGAACGAGAGATAAAGGAAATCAGAGAGGAGGGAGAAAGACGGAAGAGGCAAGACATAAAGAAGGCAAACGGGGCGAGGGCGTGCGGGGGGAGGAGGAGGAGGAGGAGGAGGAAGAGGAGGAGGGGGAGGAGGAGGAGGAGGAGGAGGGAGGAGGAGGAGGAGGAGGAGGGCGGAGAGGAGGGGAGGAGGAGGAGGGGAGGGGGCGGAGGAGGAGGAGGAGGAGGAGGAGGAGAGGGGGGAGGAGGAGAGGAAGGAGGGGAGGAGGAGGAGGAGGAGGAGGAGGAGAGGAGGAGGAGGAGAGAAGGAGGAGGAGAAGGGAGGGCGGAGGAGAGGAGGAGGAGGAGGAGGAGGAGGAGGAGGAAGGGAGGAGGAGGGCGGAGGAGGAGGAGAGGAGGAGGAGGAAGGACGAGGAGGAGGAGGAGGAGGAGGAGGAGGAGGAGGAGTAGGAAGGAGGAGTAAGCCCAGCAACCGCGCTCGACCTGAGAGCAGCGAGGGGGCGCGGACCGCGGGGCGGACAGAGGGCCGCTCCTGGCAGCTTCGAGCTCGTGTCCGCGGGCAGCAGGTCGGGCACCCCGTAGGTCTTGGCCGAGGCGAGGGCCTCCGCCCCCCGGGGCTCGGAGGAGCAGCACGGCCGGCAGGCAGACGGCGCCCGTGCATCGCAGGGGTGCGAGAGGAGGATGCGAGGGCGTTGAACGCCCGCTCCTCCTCCTCCTCCTCCTCCTCCTCCTCCTCCTTCCTCCTCCTCCTTCCTCCTCCTCCTGCCTCCTCCTCGTTCTTCTCCTCCTCCTCCTTCCTCCTCCTCCTCCCTCCTCTCCTCCTCACTCCTCCTCCTCCTCCTGCTGCTTTCTCCTCCTCCTCGTCCTCCTCCTCCTCCTCCTCCTCCTCCTCCTTTCCTCCTCCTCCTTCCTCCTCCTCCTCCTCTCTCCTCCTCCTCCTCCTTCCTCCTCCTCCTCGTTCTCCTCCTCCTTGTTCTCCTCCTCCTCCTCCTTCCCTCCTCCTCCTCCTCCTCCTCCTCCTCCGGCCACCTCGTTCTCCTCCTCCTCCTCCTTCCTCCTCCTCCCCCCTCCTGATCCTTCCTCCTTCCTCCTCTCCTCCTCCTCGGCCTCCTCCTCATCCTCCTCCTTCCTCATCCTCCCTCCTTCCTCCTCCTCCTCCTCCTCTTCTCCGCCTCCTCTGCCCCCTGCACAGGATGCCCGCGTCGCGGGTAGCGATCACGGGCCGCCTCGGGAAAGGGGTGACAGAGGCATGAATACAGTCGGCCCGAATTATAAAGATGCACGATGAGGATGCGAGGGCGTTGGACGCCCATTTCGAAACTTTCGAGCGGGGCGCGGCCAGCGAAAGTCGCCAAGGATCCTTGAGAAGGATGCAAAGGCCTTGGAGTGCTAAATCGATTTCCTTCGGGACAGGATGGGGGCGTTAGATTTAAAGAACAGACCTCCTGGCCACTGCCACCCTGCATACCGCGGTCGCCCCGCCCGACCCCAAGTTGTCCCGAGTGTCCCCGTTATCCCGCCACGCGCCCTCGATAAACATGACACAACACACCCTGCAGACCGCGGCCGCCAGACCCCACGTTGTCCCGAGTGTCCCAGTTATCCCGCCTCGCGCCCTCGACAAACACGACAGAACACACCCTGCAGACCGCGGCCGTTAGACCTCACGTTGTCCCGAGAGTCCCAGTTATCCCGCCTCGCGCCCTCGACAAACACGACAGAGCACAGTGTGGCACAACAGAACACGACAGAACAGAGCAAGAGCATGGCAGGACATGGCAGAACAGAACATGCCAATACCATGACAATGTAGAGGACACCAACACATCACAGAACATACCAGAGCAGAGGATGCCATAACAGAAAACGACATATCACAATATAATACCACATCGCCGAGAATAGCATAAGGCACAGTGACATAACATTTCAGATCATGAAACAGCGTCACCAATCATATCATAAGACGACAGCGAGCATAGCGGCGACCACGCCATAACACAACACGTCACACCAGAGGATAACGTAACACGAGCATGGCATAGCATAACAGAGCATCACACAGCACTCCCATGACAACAGACAACAGTACAAACCATCACATAACACATCATATCATAACATGGTGGAGCAGAAGGTGACATAACACAGCAAAACATAGCAACACCGAGGAAAACATAAGACACCTTGGCATACGATCCCAGGTCATTGAACTTCATCGCATAACGTATCATAACACCACTGTATAGCATATCGCCACATACTAGCATAGCAGGTCATCATATATGATAACATCGACTTGCGAATTGGTCCGGCCGCCGCGCTGGCCGACGCCTGCGCACATCCTTCCAGTAGGCGCGCGCACCGTTGGGACCAAACGCCGAAGGGCTCGGTGGGGATCGCTCGATGCAAAATTATTGACGTTTTTGTTTCAAACGAGTCTTGCCAGCGAAAGTGGCCAAGGATGGGCCGAGGATTTGGACGCCCGAAATGGGTACGGAAAGAATGGGTACAATGGCCAACAACAAATGTTGTCCCAAACCGACAGCGGCCGCTGTTGCACAGGCGGCCTTCTGTCTCAAATGGGCACGATCCGCGGCGACGCCGACAGCGAATCCTGTTCAAAATGAACAGGAACTGCTGTCAGTCTTTGTACCCATTCTTTCCGTGCCCATGCCGGTCGTCCCGTGAGGAGGCGAGGATGCAAGGGTACCCTTGGGAAGGTTGTCCCCCCTCACAGTGCGGGTCGACTGCACAGTCAAAGCACAAGCGCGGCAGCACCGCCGAGCAGTAGGCACGAGTCGGGTCGGGCGAAAGGGGGGGATAGAAAAGGGGGGGTTTGAGAATCCGCTCGCGTAGCTGATTTCCCCGGCGCCTCCCGGCGCCGGAGGCGCCCACGTATCGACGAATGGGCCCCTCGGTGAGGCCGAACCCACCTGCATGCAGCACATTTCGCAACCCCCCCTTTCCCAATCCCCCCCTTTCGCCCGGCCCGAGAGGACGGTCTTGGAGGGAGCCCACCCCGCAATCTGCCGGGTGGCGGCGCGGCCTCTGCACAAGCGGCCCGCCGCCGGACCGCGCGGGGGCCCCCCTCCCCGCTCCCGGTGGCACAGTCAGGACCCATGGTGGGGATGCGAGGCACGAGATCCCAGATGCGACTCGGCGGTGGGCCTCCACTGCACAGTCAAAAGCCACGGTGGGGATGCAAGGCGAGGATGCACGCCGCATGGGAGGTCCCATTTCTCGTGTGGAGCTCCTCTGGCTTCAGCGCTGGCCCAGGATCGGCCGGAAAAGCTGGGGCGCAGGGGTGGCCTCGATGATGCAGGGCGTCCTTCCTGTGGATTTGGACTGTGGCATAGTACCACCAGCCCTCTGGGCGTATGCGGTCTTACCATTTTGTTCTCTTCTTTTTCGGAACCCCTCTCCCCTTCGAGGCGAGATACCCTCCCCCTCTCCCCTCCCTGAGGATTCTTGGGGGGGGTCGTGAGCGGTCAAGGCGCCCAAGATGATTCCAACAGGGCGTCCGATGCTCCACGATGGCCTCCCAAATGGCTCAAGGTATCTGGAAATGGCTCAAGAGAGCGCCCCCCATGCTCCAAGAGGCCCCACACACCGCTCCAGGGCGATTCCATGTGCTCTCGGAGTCCCCCCCTCGGGGACCCCCACAAGACGCCCGACTCCTTTTTAACACTCAGACCATCTTGGGCCCCTCTTGACGCTGTCGAAGCCTCGAGGCGGGCCCAAGATGGCCCAAGAGAGCACCAGGAGGCGCCCCAAAGGCCCCCCAGACGGCCCCGCGCCCAAGAGCACCCCAATTGGGGCCCCGACGGGGCGACTTCCAGGGCCCCGCGCCCTCGCGGTCTCGAATCGGCGGCGAGCGAGGGGGGGAAGTGAGAAGGAGAAGGCCTGCAAACCTTCGTTCAAGGGTTTTTTGTTTGCAATCCTTCGTTCAAGGGAAGTGAGGGTTTTTGTTTTGCAATCCTTCGTTCAAGGTTTTTTTTTGCAATCCAGGCTTCTTTTTTTTGCAATCCTTCGAAGGAGAAGGCCTTCTCAGAAGGCCCGAAAGTCCCCCGAGCTTCTGAGAAGTTTCCTGCGTCTTCCGCGCGGGGCGCAGAGCACCTCTCGGAGGCGCGAGGGCCTCGGAGAAGTCCCGCCGCCTTCCGAGGCAGCCCTCTCCTCCTCACTCTCCCCCCCCCTCGCGCGCCGCCGGTGGACTCCGGTGCGCGCTCTCGCGCGATCGCGCGGACGCACCCCAGAGATCCGATGTCGTGCTTTGTTCAATGCGGGGTCCCCAGAAGGGCCTCCTCCTCCTCCTCCTCCTCCTCCTCCTCCTCCTCGTTCTCCTCCTCCTCCTCCTCCTCCTCCTCCTCCTGGTATTCCTCCTCCTCCTCCTCCTCCTCCTCCTCCTCCTCCTCCTCCTCCTCCTCCCCCTCCTCGACCCGTTCTCCAGGACCGGGTTTTCATCCCGAGTCGTGTTGTAACGGCCCCGGGGCCCGGTGAGGGCCCCTGGAGGCCGAAAACTGCGAAACCGTCCGTCTTGACCTTTTCCATACGTTGGACACTGTTTTTGTTCTCGATTTTTGATTTTTTAAAACGTTGGATTCTTTCAATGCGTTGGATCTCTGAGGCCGACACGCTCCGCGCGAGGCAGCCGCGAGCAGTCCTCCCGCGGCCGCGGGGCCGCGGCCGCGGGGGCCCGGACGCCGCCGAGGCCGCGGCCGCGGGACGTCTCTCCGCCCACGAGGCCCAGGTCGGGCGTGTCCCCCCTACGGGCAGACTTCGGGCGGAAGCCTAAGACATGCGTGTGTTACTATTCGTTGTTTGATGTGAAATGTTTTACATGTTTTTTTTATGTATGTGTCAATGCTTTTATGTTTTGTTTTTGTTTTTGATGCCAAGATGTCTATTGTTGTTTTTTACTGCTTTGAAACATTACATCTATCTTTGAATGTTTTATCGTGTGTTGAATATTCTGAAGTATCGTTCAAGTATTTTCTGATCAGGAAATACTTCTTTTACAAAAAAACTCAAAAGATTCAAGACAGCATCCCCAGACTATTTCTCGGGACTGCTTCTGAATATTCCCCCCCCCCCGTGGAGGGACATGCCCGACCCCACACGGGGCCCATGCTGCGAGGCGGAGCGGGGCCGCGGCGGCGAGGAGCCGCTCCGAGTGGCCCGCGCCGCCCGGCCCGGTGGACGCAGGCTGCCGGCCAGAGCAGTGGCGGGGCCGTCCCCAGGCCTCCCTACGGGCCTGCCACGGAGGTGCCCGCAGGGCAGCAGAGTAAGCCAGGAGCGGCGAGAATGGAGGGGCCCTGGGACACGCAAAGAAGTGGACACACGTAGCAGGATGCCGCATATAGTTCCCCATATTTTCTGGGTTTGGGTCTTCCCCCCCACTTCCCATATGATTTTCCTATATTTTCTGAGGAATCGAAGATTAACTGCGTCTGTGTGATGTTTTCCCTCCTGAAACGTCGGTCGGAAGAAGTAGGTAGAGACATGAAGTAGGAAGGCGGATATAGCAGATTGGGTCCAGGTCCTCCCAGAGAATAACCAAAATACAGCAAAAGCATGTCGATTCTCGAAGTAGGAAGGCGCTGGAAGTAGATTGGGATCTGGGAATCCAGAAATACCTACTTTCAACCACCGGCGTGTAAGCCAGGAGCGGCGAGAACATCGGGCGGGTGGTAATGCGGGGTGGCCTGAACGGGGTTTCGAAGTAAGAGGCCCTAAAGGATCCTTCCAGGGGCCCTTCTGAGCTTCTGCTGGCTCCGAAAGGGGCCCTAAAGGGCTCCTTTCAGGGTCTTTTTCTCCAACCCCCCTTCAAATAGTCCACCCCCACATCACCACCCGCCCGAGAAGATGCTGTTGCAACGCCAAGGCCCCCCCTCCCCCTCGTCCTCCTCATCATCCGCGTTCTCCTCCTCCTCATCCTGCTCGTCCCGAAATGGGTTTGGAAAAAATGGGTACAGTGCCCAACAACAAATGTTGTCCCCAACAAATAGCGGCCGCTGTTGGGCAGGCGGCCTCCTGTCTCGAATGGACACAGGCCGCGGCGGCGCGGGCAGCGAGTCCTGTCCGAAATGAACAGGAACTGCTGTTGGGCATTGTGCCCATTCTTTCTGTGCCCATTTCGTGCGTGCAGATGATGGGCAGGTCGGGACGCTTCGACTCGACACTGCCTGATTCCATCACGACGCGAACATGTCTGTTCGGGTCCTAAGTCCTGTCTCCGGCGGCCGTTCGGGGCGACTCGGGCAGCCCCAGAGAGCTCTCGCCTAGTCGCGGCTGCTGGAGACCACCCCGAAGCTGGAAGACCGCCGAAAAACTGGCAAAAACTTCCGAAAGCCTCGGACCTCGATACCTGCGAACTTCGAGGTGGCCCGGGGTTTCCGTCGACACCCAGAAGTTTCGACCCGTTCCCGAGGATACGTTTCTCTTCCCGAGTCGTTTGTTGACGGCCTCGGGGCTCGCCAAGGGCCCCCAGAGGCCGAAAATGCTACAAAATCTCCCCGCCGCGATTTTCTCATGACCCGAGAGAGACTCGGGTCCGGCCGGCATCGCGGCGTCGCGCTGCGACTTGC